ATAAATTGTCCTAGTTCAGAAGGGTGCTTATTTCCAAGCAGGCTCTAGATTTTGTTTTAGTCACACCATTAGAGATACTACATGGTGAAGCAGTGAGGGGAAAAAATGGCTGTATTGATTTTAGACATTTCCAAACCATATTTTAAGATAGACTACATAAAAAAGGTCTTGTACAGTCTATGGTCATTGAGAAATAAAATCCATTCTCTTTGGTGGAAGTGTCCCCCAGATCAACGACGGTTACTTATGTTAATCACATAGAGACAAAATTAAGAATGTCGCCCAAAATTTAACAGCTTCTGCATCCTATGCTAGCAAGGAATATTTATCTTTATATCCTGAGTTCTGAAAAACCAAACAAGGCAATAGAAACTGGGGATGTTTGTTATAAAAAAAATATACAGACATCATATAGTATTACAAGTTAGTGGTATGTTTGAATTTTAGGTACACTCTCTAAGTTCTTGAAAAGCATTGAACCCATCAACCATATACTACTTTCAGGCCTTGAGGTTGGGCAAGGAGGGTGTTTTGCCTGGCACCAAATTTAAGGCAATACCAGGATGGTCCTTGCAGCTTGTTCTTTATTTTATGTACCCTCTTCAATCAGACAGTGAGAGAAATAAGCTGAAGACTGAGCTCTTGTCCATTTTTTTGTTGGGAATACATCCCACTGAATTCATAGAGCAGTAGGAAGGAAAGAATTTTTTTAAACAATATTTCCACTATAATAGAAGTTAAATTGCTAGACAGTCGCAGAAGCCATGCAACTTGGTAGCATTGCATATCTGACCACTGCAGTGGAGAGGGACAGGATGAAGATATTCTTCTCTCAGAACAACATTTGCTTAGCAATAAGCTTGTAGAGGTCTTCAGTAACTACATTTAAATTGCTTCTTATCCAGTTTGAATGAGGAGTACTTTCCAAAAATATCATTCAGAAAAGAAAAATATTTCAGGATTTTTTTTTTCAGTGCCTCTTAATTTTTAAAGGGAAGAAATTGAAAATTGTTGTTGAGGGACAGAGCAACAAAATGGAATCGGACTTTTTCAGTGTTTTTTGTTCGATTGTTCCATAATATTTCTCTCTTGATTTTCATCTGATCTGCACCCCTTAATTTCTTCTGATATTTTATTTAGCATTTATAATTCCTGTTATAATTTAGTCTGCCTGGATTTGAGATTTTTTTGTGAGCGGTTTCATTGCCTCTTGCTTCTTTGTTCCTTAATGTTTGCTTGAAGTATTGGGTTTAGCCGTGTGGGGACAAAAATCTTGGAAACCCTGGCTTCTGTCAGGCATCTTGGATGTTGCAAGGTCAGTTTGGAGAAAAGCAATCTTGTGTTTAAGTTTTATTTTTACCTCTTCTTATGTCATAAATTTTAATTTCCACTTAATGCTACCTTTGGTCCCAGCTGAGAGAGGAGACACTGTACTTCCTTGAGAGACTGGAGAACTTTGTTTATTCAGTTTAAATCCTGCTCTTCTTTTCAAGCAAGTACACAAGGTAGCTAAACAAAATACAGAGATAAACATTTTTAAAACTTAAATTTAAACTTAATAATTAAAAGTTTGATGCAGGACATGCTGTTTAGCTGCTCTTCTAAATGCAGACAGAGTGAAAACTAAATGCATCTTTTCTTTTTTTGTACCCTGTTTCTCCAACAATACGGCCTCCCCCAATAGGAAGTCCCAGCATGTTTTATAGGCATGAAATGAAATTAAGCCCCTCCCCCCAAATTAAGGTCTATATTAAAACATGCGAAATGGGGGGGGGAATGGTGGGGGGGCTTGCCGTTAGGAAGTATTGTTGTTGCACACCCGGATATGGTGCTGCCTGCGTTGACCCCGATATGAAGTGCCCCACCAACGCCGAGGTCAACATCCAAGCCGTCGCTGCCCGCCCACCCAAAGATGCAAGGGGGTGGAATTAAGTCACCCCCGAAAAGACAGCCTAGCCATTTTTTCGGGGCTCAAAAAAAAAAAAAAAAAGACCCGGCCTTATTATATGAGAAACACGGTAGTAGTTGCTTTTTACACTTTTGAGAAGATGGAAACTGTCTTAATATGTAGTTCTAAAACTTTTATTATTAAAACTTATCCTTGAAAAATCTACAAATAGCAAACGCAAAATTAAAAGGAATGTTTTAAATCAAACAGCAAGGTTGTGGTCATTGCTCTGAAGCTGTGAATTGGGAATGAAAGGAAGGATCTCTTCTCTTTGAAAAACTGAGACCAATTGCGATATGATGGTGAAAATGCTCACAATCATATAAAATATCTTTGAATCTCCTTGTATTCCCCCCCCCCCAACAGCTTGAGTTTACTGAGTGATAAAAAAGAGCTCAACAAACGTGAACGAATGGAGCTGAAACGCCGGGCTATCCTGCTACTATATTACCTATTAAGATCCCCCTTCTATGACAGATACTCTGAGTAAGTCTGCCAGCTTCTGCAAAATCAAATGTCTTGTAGACTACCTACTTAAGTAAATATACAGAACCACAATTTCTGCCTAAACCAAATTGAGATCATACATTTTGGGATGGCCAGAAGCATTAGAAACTTAGTGAAGAAAGGAGCACTGTATAGGGTTCTCACTCTGGAGACGAGAGAAGGAACGAGCTCATCCTTGGGTACCTTCTTAGGGTCTGGCCCCAAGCTCCCCATTTTGGGCAGCCTTTGGTAAAGCCAGTGCACTCATCTTGCTGCTTCCTTTGCCATTGCCAGCAGGAGGACTCAAGGTACAAGGAGCGTCCATCTGCATTACACCAGAGGGTCAGATGCACCAAGAGATGCTCCATCCTCTCTATTCCTTGGCACTTCAACTCTTTCCTCCAACACTAGCCTTTCAAAATTCTTCCCTGCTGCCGACCGTAAAAGTGGCGTTTTAGGCAGCTTAGACTCTCAAAGCTAACACATCTGTTTTTGTCTCAAGAAACAATATCCACCTCTGCTTCTGAAAGGCCCTTGGTTAATAGCAGAGTCCCCAGATTTGTCTTTAGGGAATAAAAAGGCCATCTTAAGATCTATTCCTAGAGTCACTGTAGCCTGAGCCTACTAGCAGCTAATAATAATGTTATTATTAGCACCATTATACTGCATGGGAGTCTTGAACAAGCATTTACTATTTTAGAAAGCCATGGTTTGAGAACCCTCTGAGGCAGAAATGTAGAGGCCTCTGAAATATCTGACCTCGCTGTAGTTCAAGAGAGCATTTGTTGTTGGGAAAGAAGCTACTAACCTCTTTTCCTTGTCTTTTTTTCCCCATATGCCTTTGCAGGGGCAGGATCCTCTTTCTTCTGCGCTTGTTGGCAGATTATGTCCCTGGCGTTGGCCTAGTGACCCGTAAGTAGAAGACTTGTCAGGTTTGGGTTTTTTTCTGAAGATAGCTTTCATCGGTGAAGGAAATCATGAGGGTGGAGTCCCATCTCCTCTGTATGCTTGTCTGAAGAATCTGCATATTTACATGAGGGAGAATTGAAATGCCTCTAGATCGGGGGTCCCCAAACTTGGCAATTTTAAGACTTGTGGACTTCAACTCCAATTCTGGGAGTTGAAGTCTACAAGTCTTAAAGTTGCCGAGTTTGGAGACCTCTGCTATAGATGAAGGCAAATGTTGGAAATGTTGAGTTTGTTTGATGCGGTCACTGAGGAATCTGAAATGTCTTCCCAGAATCTCTAGTTGGTTCCTCAGTTATGTTGACAGTGAGACATTGGACTTGTTTTATCCGGCTTGCTTACTAGAGGATGCCTGCTATCTGTAAAACCACCTCTGCCATTATCATGTTAACATATCTGCAGTCAGGAGAGTCAAATGTTTTGGATCTAGGATCTGGAAATTTATAGGCAATATCTAGAAAGGCAGATTGTTACATGAATAAGATCAGTGCGTAAGATTCAGGCTTCCCCCACCCTTCTGTAAAGTTATTACTTTTCTCAAAAAATTAGGCTGGGTAACAGGAACCTAGAAACTGTGGTAAGGATATATGACTTCCTTGACATTCCTATCACATCACCTGCTAGCCTGCTGTGTGGATTAATTTAGTTTATGAGATTAAGATCTGTTCTTGTGTATTTAGTACTTGGTTAACTCATTTCACTTTGCCCTCTTTTTTTCTATTGTCAAAGTTCTTACCTAAACATATCCTCGGGTGACTTTTTCCTCTACAAGGGTAATTTAAAGGGAGGGAAAGGGTATCATGAAGCCAAATATTGGAAATCCAGTTAGCAACTTGCTACTTTAAAATCTCCCCTCCCCTTTCTCCCCCCCCCCCCCCTTCAATTTCAGGACCTTTGATGGATTACTTGCCAGCCTGGCAGAAAATTTATTTCTATAATTGGGGCTGATCTGGCTTCTGCTTGAACTACTGCAACCAGAGAAGATTTGAGTGGAAAGCTTGTGCTGACAGAATGACTTTATACAGAGGAAAATAATCAAGAGACTTTTTTGGTGGGGGAAAGGGCAGCGACACATCTCTGTGACTTGTATTAATGGTTTGAAAGAGAAGAATTAGGCTTTTTTTCCTGACTCTTTTTTTTTAATGCCTTCCTGTAAGTACTACAAAGACGGATTAAAATGTGTATGCGGTTTCCTTCCTATTTGGTAATAACTGGTTTCAAAGCATGGGACTTGGGTTGGGAGGGGTGCAGAACTCTTTTTGTAAGCATTTTGTACAGTTGTGGATTAATAAAGCCAGGGGACTGCGATGCCTTTGGGCTAATTGGTCTGGTTTCTTGAATGTTCAGTCATGAACCTGCAGGAAGTAAACCGATGGGAAGCAGAAAAATTTGAAAGCAATGCTAGGAGATTGTATTTTAAACAGATTTCTGGTACAGGGGTAATTAAAATGTAGCTGACTGTGGGGCAGAAATGGAAGAGAAATGTTGAATTTTGTAGACAAATTCTGAAAACTATCGAATTACGAATATTCAGATATGGTTCGGAATTATTTATGTGCCATTAACTACTGGCGGAGAAGGATGCCGTAGGTATCGCCTTATACATTATGGTAAATCTTTGTTTACAGAATTTTTTGCTGCTTCACAGGTCTCTGATGCTGTTAAATTCACAAGAGTATTTCTTTAAAAGTTAAGAAGCCTGTTTTGTATGGTAATCTCTGGAAACACATCTCAAAGGGTGCTTTTGGGAGGGGGAAATGGGAGGAGGGTCAGAGGGTACCCAAATCAAGCAGAAGTGGTGAAGGTCAAACAATTGGCGGTAAAGATGGGCAACTATGGCAGGTGGAACAAAGTATCTCCAAAATGGACTTCAACCACACAGCTGAAGCAGTATTGGGGTTTTGTGGGGTGGGAGTATATGTTGTTCTTAAAGTAACCTTTGTTCCCTGCCCAGTAAATGGAATTCAGCACTGCCCTGCATTCTATACCTTTGTGATAATGCTTTGAATGCTGCCTTCGGTTCTGCCAAGGAGAGAAAGATATATCAAGTTGGGCTTGGCTTTGGAGGCCAGATGAGGCTTTTGATCATGTTACTCCTGATGCAGAAATTACTGCCTGTGCCAGGTCTTCAAAGGTAATGGTTACAGATTCATGCCTCAGTACTGATCCTATGTATCTGATACATTCATAGTTAGATGAGCATGGGGCATTGATGGGCCAGCTGGCTTGAAAAATCACATAGTGATGCTGTCTTCCCCATCCATACACAGTTTTAGGAATGTTTTACCCTTTTTAGCATTGACAGAAGAACTTCGCAAGTGTACAATATATTTAAGCTCAGTTTCAGGAAAAACTGAGGGATGAATTCAAATATTGATTAATTATTTAATTGAAGTGAACCACTGTTTTATCAGAAAAAAACTAAAGCATCTGTTATCTGACTGGAGTGAGTGAGATATGAGATGCCTGTTAAGTTTCAGCTGTGGATTTTTTTGAGCTTTTTAGTAATGTTATTCCCCAGGGAGATAAGACTTTATTTCAGAAAACTGCAATTACATGATGTCATTGTAATTGGATATTTCAAGGAAAGAGGTGAGAGATAGTGACAACCACAGATAATATAAAATGCTTGTTACCCAACATGCAGCTTTGTCTTTAATAAATAAATGTTATACATTTACCACCAGCATATTTCAGGGTAAGACGTTTCAACATTTGTTCATTACTGGTGTTTGGTTTTTCTTCCCCGCTTTATTTTCATGTTTCATTATATCTGTGACATTGTGATCTTGCACACAAGAACTCTCTTTTAATGACTCCGTAGTGCGTAGAAAATGGCGCTTTGTAGTTGTTGTTTTTACTGACAAGTTATATTTGGACTGATACAATCATAGAGTATAAAATCTGAAGTAAACACATTTTCCTAGAACAATTTAGACAATGGACTATATATATATGTTTTCTTTTTGGACTGTTAAGAGAGAGATTGCAATAGAAAAGAAAAAGATACAATGAGCTGCATAAATATTCTTAGAGACTAAGTTCATATTTTAAAAAATAGAAATAATTTCATTTGTGAGGATTATCCATAAAAATTAAGGATTATTAAATTATTTCCACTCATTAAACATGCAGGCTTGTTTCAGTCACATTCAGGGACAATAAAAGTGTGTTCCAACCGGGCACCTGCAACAAATAAACACTTCAATTGAAAGAGCGTCAGGGTGATTTCACTGCCGGGGACATCAAGACTTGCAAGTCCTGATTTAACAAGTAATGTGCATGGAAGCTTGCAACCATGCACACCTCTAACAGGAGGGTTTCCTTGGAGGATTTGCTTCTTCAGAGTCTATATCCAATACCAATATAAAGAGAATTAAGGTCAAAATATATAAATTAAGTTTATTGATGATCCATTAATTGGATTTTACAGCATTTTAATGTGTTTATGGATTCAGAATATGTCGTGGTTATGGAGGATTTATGATACTGCTAAAAGAGCAATTTAGGATTTAATCGCTTGGTTATCTGCCCATGAGATTTGTCAAGAGAAATGATGAGGAAATTGCCCTGTATCGATTTGCTTTTTTTTTTTTTAAACAAACACCAGGGCTTTAAGCACTAATTGTAGCCCTTCCTGATCTTGTGCTCCCCTATGGCAGATTCAGAAGATCTGTCCCAGAAGACTTCATCGCGCCCTTGGAGCTCCAGCAGAAACAGTTTGGCTTAGTGGATGGTATGCACGTATTAAGTCTAGATCCTATTTCTTGGCATAAGGCATGACTGGGTAAAGGCACATTGCTACATCTCTTCCGCATTAACCCCGGGGCAGCTTAGGTGCCCTGGGCAGGTAGCCACATTCACGCAACTTGTTTTGCTGTGCCACTCCCCCCTCCTGTCCTGGAACCTCAGGAAATCATGCTATTGTCCCCGCGACAGGCCCATACTCCACATTAGGGACAGGTTATGCAACTGTCCATATAGCTTTACCCAGCTATTCCCAATCTTAGCAACTTAATAAGTGTGGGTTTCCATTTCCACGTTGGCTGTGGGAATTCTGAGAATTGAAATCCACATCTCTTAAAAGTTTCTGAGATAAACACTGAAAATGCAACCTCCAATTGGCATGTAGAACGCATTACTCAGTGCCTCACAATTTTTGTCTTTTCCCCCCTCTTTTCTCTTTGAAACTGGGAATTCAACCAGCCAACTGTTTAACCTATCAATCTCAAGTGGCAACAAAGAGGGATTTTGGGTACTATCTAGTAGTTGCCCAGATACGTACAGCCATGTCTAAGGAGAATTTGAGAGTTTGAGTTCAATACCCTACGAACATAACATGAAGTAAGGAAGCAAGGAGACAGGATTTGCCTGGGGAAAAGAATTTCCTGTCAGGAAGGCTACAGAAATGCAAGAACAAAGTCCTTCCAATTACACTTTCCAATGTGTGCATTAATGGACTTGTTACTTGCAAAGTTTTGCACTCTCCAGGTCAACCAATCCATTACAAAAAGTAATAGCCATGGAAGTTAATGTCTCCCTTGCAACCAAAAGAGGACTGAAATAGGATCTATACTTGGGTGACTAGTGCCTCCTTGTAGGCCCTCTGGGGATGTATAACCACCATAAATACTCTTTTCCATTCCTACCACCTGCAGTATTTCACAAGGTTGTGTTTTCACAGATTATGGCCTTCAACCACGCCACCCCAAGTTCCAGATACGGAAACAACGTAAAGAGTCAGAAACACTGCACAGATCACATAAAAGCAAAAGGGACGAACCCAATTTTGAAGAGTATTATTACGATGACCTCCTTTGAAAAGTGACAAGAGAACATGCTGTTTTGCATAGCCTTGCCTGGTAAAACAGCCAAATGCATACAGCAATAATCCCCATTCTGTTACTTAACACTATTCTAGAAACTTTCCTTGCAGCTCTGTATTTTCTGTGTGTCCCTATCATAAACACAACGTTTTAAGATGAGATTGCCATTGGTAGATTCTCAGCTTTCCTTTCATGCTTTTAATTCCTACTGTGCTAAATAATATTTGGAAACTTTGCTATTGGCTGGAGCTAAGACTTCAATGCCAACACTGAGGCTATGTAGTGAAAAATAAGTATCCAATACAGCTTTCAGTGCCATGACTATTTTTACCTCTCATCAATGACTTCTCCGGTGATTCTGAATTTGGGTTCCACCTTACATTAGAATTCTAATTTATATAAACTAATATGAACAGATTTTATAGTTTACAATTTCAACTATTATTAAATAGACCTAGCTCTCAAAAGCCTTTCTGTCTTTGTAGTGCCATTCATTTATATAATATTTAGTAAAAGCACAGATCCAAACCCCTCCAAAGGCATTTTAGAGCATGCCTGTTTAGTAGGTAATTACATATTTGGCTGAAATAACAGCTGGCATTAGAGACAGGCATTGTTGAAAAGCTGATTCCTATGTTTCAATATCTCAAAATCCTTTATTTTTATCTTATCTTTTATTGCTTTGTAAATAAGGGGGCAATGATACCTAATATTTCCTCCTCTTTTCCTCACAATCTTGTGAGATAGGTTGAGCTGAGAGTGACTGGTCTGGTTTTCATGCCAAAGCAGGACTAGAACTTTCAGTCTCCTGGTTTCTGGTGCCTTAAACACTAGACCAAACCAGCTTCTTTTTAAGAGAATGTGAGGATACAACTATTAAAGCAGATTTCTAGTGAGTATGAAATGGCAGAACATAATGGTAACCTCCAACACACAAAAAACCAGGGCCTTCTAACATTGTACTGTACATAACAATAAAAAATACAGAGACAGCTTGGCTCACAGGGGCTAATATGTAAGTCACTTCTAGCAGAGATGCAGGATATGAATCTTGAAAAAATAAATGCAGAAAAAAAAACACACAAAAAGTTGCTTCATATGCCTCTGAATGGCCATTCCATACAAGCCAAGCAGGATTCTTAATATAATACGATTCTGCAATGTTTACAATGTACAAGTCTGAAAACTGCAGGCAGGTAAGACTTCTCTTAATTTTATGTATGCTACATCTCAAACTTGGGTGGGCGAGTACATTACAATACTACCTTTCGGAACATCTACCTTGGCTCCTGCAATTCGATCCTAAGAGCTTCAAACAGTTGTTAAAAGACCTCATAACACAAAAGCAACACAGTTCCTTTGAAACATCAATGTTTAATCATTGTCATCAGAGCAGATCCAGCAGAAGCACAGAGCCCTCTGCCTGGAAAGCTCGGGCTCGTAGGCAGGGGAAGAAGGCAAAGGCACACCTTTCTGCAGCTCTTGGTTCCTTGTTACCCATGCTAGTCCCCTCGCTTTTGCCTCTCCACAAGACCTCACTACTGTTTCCTGATTCAGCATTGTGCTTAATGGCTGTAGATCTCCCAGCCCCCTAATATGGATGAATCAGATGCATGGCTCTCAGCTCACTGCAGTATCCAGATTACTCCCATCCCTTGGAGTTTAGGATCTGCAGACCGATGAAGGAAAGGGGACAGCACAACCAGAGTTGCAACAGAGGGACTTAATTCTATATCAGAAGTACAGTGGTTCTTTCTCGTTTTCACCTTCAGCCTCCCACAACCTGGCACCCACAAGATACACTGGGGCTCTAATTCCAGAATTCTCAAATTCTCCTCCCTTTCAAAGTCCAAGTGCCAAAGTGTCTCCTATACAGTAGTCCTGGGTTACTTTTACAGACATGGGAGGTCAAATACAAAGTGGATTTCTGTTTACTGGGACTTGTCAGAAATCTTTTGCTTAGCTTCCCATCCAAGATTTCAATTTATTATTTCCGTATCTTTTATCTAAGCATATCAACTTAGCAACATATCAACTTATCTAAGCAAATCCAATTTTCTTGGGGGAAGTCCAGCACTTTTGTCCTATTAAACAGCAAATGTTAAATCTGGAATATGTGGCAGAACTAGAGCGGTCTCCAGCACACAGCAGGAACCCTCAAAAGGGTGGAGGAGTTTCTTTGCCCAGGCACCAAACCAGCCCCCTCCTATGCCAAACACGTGGGATATTCAACCCTGCCTATTCCGGGGCCAGTGCTTTGCTTGATGTGTGGGGGGCAGCAACTGCTTTCACTGGTGGCATTTTTTTTTAATAAAGAAAAAAGAGAATGCATTTCTTTAAAAATAGTAATCCCCATGTCTTGCCACCCATCCCACCCATTCTCAACTCCCCAAACCCCCTGCCCAAGGAAAGGAGGTGTACTGAAAGAGGAGAGGCTCTGCATATGGAGGGAAACCACTCCCATGCCTCTTCCTCCTTCAGACTTGAAGCAGCTTGTCCATGCACAATGGGGAAATGGCCCTTGTCTATACAGGAAGAGAGGGCTGGACCTGCCCCTACTCTAGATAGATATCCTCTGTGGGGCACGTATATTCCACACATTCCTTGTAGAACTGATGGAAAGCCTTCCTGCAAAAGAACGAGAGAGAGAAAGGTGTGTTGAAGAGAAGGTGCCATTGTGCATAGGCACAGCACAATTCAAGAACCAATGTGCTTCATACACCCATTCTTTTTAAAGTTTTTCATTACTTAGGGCTGTATTTTCAAGCACTTTAAGAAAAAGAATCAGATCTCCCCAAAATAGCCTTTTGTAACCAGGCTAAGAATGATACAAATACAGCACATCCCAGAACTGTAAAGATCTGGCAGAATAACCTGCTTGCTGCACATATTATGTGCCAACTATACAGGAAAGGACAGTAAGTTATGCAAGAACTTGTGCCAAATAACCAGAAGTATCATAAATCTGGAGTAACTCCTGTTTTTCAACAAACAGCATTTCAGAAATGGACTTTTCACAGACCTAGTGGCTCTGACCTCATGCACATAATGTTCATGCAAATCGAACATTTAGGCACAGATACAGTATGTATAAATTGGCCTCAGAAAAATGCATCAACCTTAATGAATTATTCTCTCTCCACACTGTGGTGAGTCTGAGCATCCTTTAGAAAATGCTGCATATTGGAAAACAGGAGTAGCTCCATGAGCCATTAAAACATCTCAATGGCGAAGAATTCAAGCACTAGATTGCTTTTTAAAGAACATCTTGACTCAATACTCCAGATTTTTCAGGAAACAGATTACATTTCTGCTAACTCACTAACTTCAATGAAGATGGTTTGCAGTCAAACCTTGCATCTCCCCAAAACAAGTCTTCATGCCATACTAATGGGATTCTAAGCAAACTGAAGACAGAATTAGAATTCTCAATAAACTATGTTTGCCCTCTACTGGGCACTGAAAGATGGCTAATCCCTGACCCCAGCAAGCATGCTGGGATCATTGCTGCAACCAGAGCTGCATACTACATCCATTATCTGGGGCTAGTGCTCCTTTCCCTTAGATCAAATAAAATCCCTAGAAAAATGAGAATCCAGGACATAGCAGTCAACAACTCACCCTACAGACTCTGCAAGTGGCTTGGTGGATTCCTCCGAGACAAAGACATGGCACGCAAATCTATGGTCAGCTGGGTGCTTGGTAATGAACCCAAAATATCTGATGGAGAAAATAAAATATGTTAGCTGCCCTGAGAGCAACATTTGTTGAAAAAACAAGATATAGGTTACATTAATAATAAGATAATAATAATAAGATATGGGATACAAACTCAAGGTAAACCACTTCAAACTCAGAAAATATGCAGAAATGTTGCAGAAAATATGACTTCAGCAACAGAGTGGTCAACGCCTGGAATGCTCTACCCAACTCTGCTGTTACAGCCTCAAACCAACGCAGCTTCAACCTCAAACTGTCTACCGTGGACCTCACCCCATTCTTAAGAGGTTCTTAAACGGGGCATGCATAAGCGCACCAGCGGGCCTACCGTCCCTGTGTTACTGTCCCCATTTATCTGTATTTATTTCCTTTGTTCATGTTTATGGTCATACCTACACATCTTGTACATGTTTGACAAACAAAATAAAAAAGTAATAAAAAAATATGAGATTGGATGGATGGATGGATGGATGGATGGATGGATAGATAGATAGATAGATAGATAGATAGATAGATAGATAGATATGGAGATGAATCCAGTAATAAATACATACCCATACTAATATCAATTGTTTGGAATGTTTTTTATATATTTCTTAATTCAGTTTGTATTTAGAAAATGAGAACTTATGTACTGAAGATGGTGTTTGATTTCGTTGTATGAGGTGCAATGACAATAAACTAAATTAAACTAAACTGGATTTCTAATGTGTATACCCAATAGATTACCTTAAAGCACTAGCTTGGACCCAATTTAGATCCACTTACCAAAGTAGGGCTTGAAGCAGTTAACATTTTAACAAATTAAAACTATTAAAATCCAGCCTAGGACAGCAAAGAAAGTAAAGGAACTAGCAAGATTTCTTGAAATTATGCAATAAAGCTAAACTGCTTTTAAATTGTAGAGGTTCCATAAAGGACGAAACCGCAATAATTCTTATGAGAGAAAAAGTGCCACACTAAAGAGTAAAAAAGGCTCTTGGACCTCGCATTGAAATCAATATGAAAAGATGGGAAATATTTTTACCCGTATCTCTTCCGAAGCCTACGAGGTTTGGTGGGCCAAATATCCCAATAAATATATTTAGGACTGCAGCCTACAACTTGATTTAGAGTTGCCCACAACTGCACGTAATCATTGCAGTATACCTATACTGCGAAAGGGTCGAGGGTAGGTAAGCGTAAGGTTGCAATTGGCTGCAGATGGGGCCGACACACACACTTCCCAAATCCCAACCGCACTGTGCTTCAAGTCAGTGGATCTGACTTGCTGTTCTGTGCTTTGCTCTTTGAGCACTCCCTAGTCAGAATGTTAACATTCACAGATGTATAAATGCAACACCTATGCAACTGTCTCCAAAAGACAGGGCCATACGTTCACTGACGTGCAATGGGGTTTACTCATGATTCAATAATCCTCGCTCTTTTTTTCCCTAACA